TATAATTTAAAATCTGTTGACCTTTTCTAATATCGTATTTCAGTTACTCATTGGTTATATTTCTTAAATAATTTCCGTAGTAACCTTTAAGTCATTCATTTTTCTTTCTGTTTTTCATAATCTTGACACAAGAGATAAACAACAACACGTGGTTAGATTGGAAGTAAGATCAATTTTTTTCTACTTAAATAATGTATTCAACATATTAATCATTATATTTTCCTAATATTCATGAAATATTGTTTAAAGTTTTCTCTTCTACCGTTGACCTTGTGAATAGGTAGTCAAAATAGGTAGAAACTAATTTCTTTCACATATAACCTTGGACAACGATTAATCGATAAATATAAACTTATTTCATCAAGAAAAGATTAATTTCGGTATGGGAATTTTCTGGAGGTTGTAGTATTTTAACAGTTGAATTCACGAGTTAGTCTAAGCTAGACTGCCACAGAAAACCTGGAAACATTGAGCGACTGTTTCGTCCTAGTATGGGACTCCGCAGGAGTAAGCATCCACAACTCTGCATGCGAGACTTGAACCGAGGACCTATCGATCTTGCGCGCGAACGCTTAAAATCTAACATTATTACTGTTTGACTTCAACCAATTCACGAAATTGCGCCGCCGTCCGCCATTGTCTTCAGTAAGTTATTATCTCACAACAGACCGGATTGAACATTGGTCACTGCTTCGCACTAGAACTCCAAGAAATGCCTATTGAAGCCAGTCACTAGTGAGCACATGATGATTATTATCGAGGATGTGCGATGCCGAGGAGTCTCATACGTGGATGAAACGGCCGTCCAGTGCTTTCAGGTTTTTCATGGTGGTTTAACTTTAATTAACCCATGGATTCAACTATTAAAATATTTAAATGTAGTTTAGATACTTAAAATCAGCTTCACAACACTGAGCGAAATGACTGAATGGTAGATATTTTTGTGAAAATTAATTTCTAGGAATTTATACTAAATGTTTTGTCTAACTAATTATGTTACAGGATAAACAGTAAGAGGTTATCAATGTTTTTTGAGAAAAATAGTTTACATAATAATAACAGCATGTTTAGATGTAATTACGTTCTTCTTGTTTAGAATATTAAATGCCAATCGGCTAACTTCAACACAAATTACTATCAATCATTATTCCACTTCAATATTTATATTTGAGGAAATAATAGACTGGATTTCTAAAGGTAACAAAAAAGATGTGATTTTATAACATGTACATTTCATTACAATTTATTACTCACATGAATCTGTGTACAATGGGTTAAACGTTGGGGCGCGAGACTTAAGGCCCTGGGTTCGAATCCCGCGAGCGGGGTTCCAGGTTTTAATTATCCCTACGGCATTTTTTTTAAAAAAAATCACCCTTTTTAAAAAAATTTTTTCAACCCCAAAATTACAATATTTTTCATCCTGTTTCGTCCAATGAAAAGGCTATTTTCATAATTCGTTTCAATTGGTTTGTCATGTCTTGTCAAATAGTTATAAAATATCAGTACTTGTCGACGAAGTACATTTTAATCATCATTATGGAGGAGAGTAACGTTCCGAGTACAAGCGCTGTTATTTCTAACGTAACGGAAATGGAGGAAGTCTTTTTGACTACATTGTTTCTCGTTGCGTTCCCATCGCTTGAAGCGTTGAAGTCCGCTATCACAAATTATGAAAGGTCGACTTACAGTCATTATATAGTTCGAGATTCGCATTTGAGCAGAGATGAAAACTCGTACATTAAATTTGTATGCTGGAGAAATGGCCGTATAAGATCTAGCGGTTCGTCACAGCGGATCAGACGGAGGAGGTAATTTTATTAATGTTATTAACATTTTTTGTCATGAAGGGCTTCCATGAACACTCAATGTCCGGCCTTCATGTATTGTAAGATTATAGACGGCTACTGGACTGTTGCACGTGGGAATGTGCATCACAATCATGAGTGCGATTCCCTAAGGTACCAAGGTAATCCATGGGTGCGAAGGTTAACAGATCCGGAGTTTGAAACTGTGAAACCGCTGCTGATATCTGGTACCACTGCATTCCACATAAAGAACTTTGTTTACCAATCTTATGGGAAACGTCTGACTGATCAAGATGTCTGTAATTTGCGGTACAAAGTGTTAATGGAACGGGACCTCCAAAATGAAGAAGAAGATGAAGAGAACCGTTTGTGTGACATCTGTAATCTTGCACAGCCGCCGTGTGAAACTGGTGATGCAGTGGGTTGGGTTTCCTGTCCTTGTGAAGCAACGTTTCATAGGTTCTGTGCTTATGACCCATCACCGAACGTACGAGCAGTGCATTGTCCTATCTGTGGCGCCATTACAAACTAATAGTTACGACGTCCGACAGCGAGAACGAGTAAAGGCCCTTTTCAGGGCCACCCACAATTTGATTACCATTATTTTTTCTCTATTTTTTTCCATGGCAAAGGTCAAGTGATTAAGCACTTATTAATATCTAATGAATTTAGATATCCATTAGAGATTAATAATCGAAAAGCGATTATCGCTCATGTATTCGTAAAGTTGTTTCTAAAGTTTATTAGATATAACAGCTAAGATAACTTAGACAAGATTTTGTCATCTAATGAAGATTAATCTAGTAATTTTTTTATTTAAAATAATGTGATTACTGTTCATGTTTTAGTAACACTTTTGTAAACTATCTAATAATAGTACATTTTGAGTACATTTTAATAGGAATATTTTAAATTAGTGAAAATCGTAATTTTGTCGTTAGGTCAATAAATTTATGATGACATTTATTAGTGAATATTATTACAAAGATGAATGTGATTAATGCTCATAGAGAAGTAAACAAAATTGAGAAAATTAACTTATTTAGGAATAAAATAATGACATTAGAAAACAAGTTGAAACCATCATCGTTGAAATGATTCATGTGATTAAAGGTCATATAGTAAGTGTAAAAAGAAATAAGAATATTATCCGTTTCATGAATACAAAAAAACAAGAATTTCATATTCTTGTTTTATATTAAAAGTTCCTGAAACCAGAACTATGCGTACGTAAGACGTTCGTATGATCGTCAACTAAGCCTTCATTGTTATTCATAACTACTGATTATATCAACGTATTCATTTGCACATCTATATAATGATTAATTACTGGTACAATCACATTGTAGCAGTAATAAAAATTCTCATAAAATATTCAAAAATAAAAAATAATTTAGCGAACAATCGTTTTCATTAGCTTCATCATAACACTATACACAGTCCATAATTTTAGTATTTTATAAAGTCCAAAAATAAGGCATGGCATTAATGAATTTGACAATGTAATGTGTTAACAATGGTTAACGTTTACATCTGTTACGATATATATATTTACAAATTAAAAAGGTCATTCACTAAAGGTCGGAATGATTTGCAGTAAAGTGTTCAGTCACAATAAGTGACTAAGCATTATAGGAAAATTGAAATGGCGAAAAATTTCGTGTCAATGAAATACATAGTAGGAGAATTGAATCTTGTCAATTGACATAATAATAATAATAATAATAAGGAAAATAAATAAGAATAACATTTTAAATGATCATTGATACAGTTGACCTTATTCATATTTATACGTTTAAAGTCGATAGATATTTGTTGAGTCAGACGACGTACGGTTGTTCATTTACACTTCATGAAACTGATATTTCAAATGCTTGTCAAAAATGGTTACATTCATAATGTCTAGATAATTCAGGTTTCATATTACGGTGGTTAACAATATTCACACATGACTGATTAAACACTAGTCCTTATTACGACCAAAAAAATTAATTTTAAAATACAGAACTACAAATAATTTACAAGTGAAAATAATGAACCGTTTCAATGGATTTCCAAATTAACCACATTTAAATCTAACGTTGTCTAATTCTCATTATGAATGACCATTTACAAAGTAATCGTTTACTAAATATTAAGTGCCTATTTCGGAAAATTTATTACTACTTTCATATACTGCCAAAGTCAGTTCATTAAATGATGGTCTATGGTTGCTTCACCTGAATTATACATATTGCAACCAGTAAGTTATCATGATGATTTATTGATATGTTGATTTCCTTTTCCCATTAACACACCATGTGTCATAAAAAAAACCTATGCAAACACTTCGGTGATAAATTGTTTATTAATTTGGTATTAAACATTTGACTACCGACCTCATTCAGTAATCACTATTATCAAATATTCAAACCGGTTTTCAGTTGCTTTTTCCCAAAAAAATTCTTTTAGTGAGATACATATAATTATTCGTGTTAAGATAACTAACGACTTCAATTCAAGGTATACTTGATCGGAAAACAAAAATTTATCCCAATACACATTCACTAACAGTAGGATTGCACGGTAATGCAATTAAGTTGGTGTCTTTTTCTTCAAAAGTCCAAATTTTTTTCAAGACTAAGATTACACAAAAAAAATTATTCATTATCATTAAATAAATTTCAAATGTAAAAAAGTGAAAATTCTGACATCCAATCACAGCTCTAGATGCGATTTCAATTTCAACTAATCAGATTACAAAGATGAACAGTTTACGACCAATTACAAAATTATTAAAGGTAACAAAATGTTTGTTCATTATCACTTGAGCACACACTTGCAAAACAAGTCCACCAATCAACGATACCTAAATTAATATCAGATGGGTTTTTGTGGGGATTGTAGTAATTTCATTCACACCCCACAATTTTTTTAAAATGGGTGGTAGGGAATCATATTGGCCGGTCACTTAATGTCAACCGGGGTCCCACAATAGGACGAAAAGGTCGTCCAGTGCTTCCAGGTTTCCAACGGTGGTCTAACATCAATCGGTTTATGATCTCAATCAAAATATTATTAATCTCCACAACCCCTACGCTGATTATTTGATCTAAGTTTTTATTGATTTATTAGTAAATTTGAATGATTTCTTGTAGTTATTTAATTTGAATCCAACTAGATCGGATAGTGGAAAATTGCGTCGTGTTTGCACGTCAGGATAATCACTTTAACGGCTCGATATTTGAATTCACTTAGATTGTATGCTGATTGTTGTCGAAGTATACATGTCGCCAATACTCATATCTTTTTTCTATCGACTTAATTCGCGTTAGATAATAATGGATTGAAATAAACCAAATACGAGAATGAATTTAGAATACGCATATCTCATGCAATCATTGATCTGAACAGTCAATCAGGGAAGCGCAGCGAAGCAAGCAACGCGAAGTGAAATGAAACAAAGTGACGCGCAGTGGAGAAGGCAAACCAGCCAACTCGATTTGACCAAGAATAACTCAATATTTATATTCAGACAAAAATAGGTTACAGACACGTGATGAATAGGGTTAGCAATTAACACCACATACGATCACAGAAAACCAGTCAATGTTAATGAGCGAACAACTGACAATATCAAAATATAGCTTGAGAAGGATGAATAAATTGATCTGGACAGAAGCTAAAATAACCTATGCGTGTTTGACATATCACCAGCCACTACAATTTTCTAAAGCTATTGGAGGAAACCAACTAAAACAGACCATGAGATACACCACTTTGAGTTCGAAATTACTTACAAAGGGACGTATAGATATTTATTGCAAGCATGTACAACAACTCAATTTCATAGATTTAACTATTTACTTGATTTTAAGTGAAGCTCCATGGTTTTTAAATATTTCTTTATAAGATCAACTAGTGAAATACACTTCTGTATTATAAAATCTTTCGATGAAGGTCTGGCATCAAATAAGTTATATTGACCGATGTATGTGCTCGTTTTCTGGATGAAATGGTAGTTAAATCTACGACATTACTAAGCTTTTTGAATAAAGCAAGGCACAGTTATTTAAAATTTTCTTGATGATGTCTATTAATTTGTCAAACTGAGGGATGGTTCGAAGTGGAGGTCAACAATTTGTTTGATACTCAGGATAGGTCAATGTACCCTCTGACTTGCAGGTATACACAGTTTGACATTAAGATTTTTGCGATCTCATAGTTCTACAAAATATGTTCTTTAATAGACTTGTTATAATTTTCACAATGTCAAATTGTTTCCATAGCACTTATTACCATTCTCTAAATATTTAACTTAACTTGTACGAGAAAGCTCTATATTTTAAAAATAATTATCGAGTGAATTTGCTTTAGAGTACAAACCTTTCTCGACTTTGATCTAGGCGAAATTTGTCAGTGCAATATATGTATGAAAATATATATGGGTTCGAGTCCCTGAGTGAACATCGATTCTGGGATGCAGGTACATCCAGTTGACGAGTCACAAGTGGGACGAAATGCACATCGCTGATTCCACTGTTTGGCATCATCCATCTCTACTTATAAGTATAATGGGAGTTTTTCACTCTTTATATTTTTAATAATAAAGTATGTAAAATCTTTCATCAAGTCATTTAACTCACTTCATTAATAATATTGTCTGACTGAAGTGTCTACATTCATTCAAAGCTGAATTTTAATGAATTCATGTTGTTTGCAGTGAATTGAAATTTTTCAAAAATAAAATTCTTTTTATATTAAGTGGTTGGTTTGTTTCATAATCAAAATTAGTAATTGAATGTGGGAAGAAAAGCATTTATTTACATTCGAAATGTACGACAGTAAAAATACGTTTTCAGTGGAGTTTTGTACTCTGAGCTGGATGGTTTGAAAGTGGAGATGTAGTTGTTCCTCTGGACAACATCATCAACGCGAACTTTATGTAAATGTGAGATTTTCTAAGTCCTCCACATATGACTCACGGCTTTTCCTGTCGACCTCGATCTTGATTGTTTATTGTTGAATTTTGACCTGTTATTGTCTATTTCTTTATATTGATTGTATCTGTCATTGATTTGATTCTTGGTCAATTAATTGAATATACTGAGATGAAAAATGTTCAGTGTTTGGTGTATAGGGAACAATAGTAGATTGTATGATTGTGTTTATCGGAATATACATAATATATAAACTAATAAGACGCTTTGGATTGTAGATTTAAAGAACAATCTCAATTCAACAATTGTAATGAAAAATATTCATGGACAGGAAATTAGTTGCATTTAGCTGCAGAATAATCTTCAGTTGAGTGGATTCGCTAAATTAAACTTTAAACATTTTGGTGAAACTCTTCAGTGTCTAACAGTGCAATCCAAACCTCATGTTTCGTTTTATCTGAAACTCGTTATTGTGAATTGGATGCATCTCAGTGATGGTTTTAAGACGTAGACTGATTAGTTGCAAGCTTTAACATCAACAGAAAGATGAAATTTAGTAAAAATAAATTCGTACTCGGCAGGCAAGCTAATCTTTATATGAACTCATCAGTTCGGCGGATAACATGTGCGTTTCATGCGAAATACACTGGGTTTAGACGCAGGTTCAAACGTCAGCTGAGAAGCCCGAAATAAATGGAAACACCCATTTTAAACAATACTCATAACCACTATGGGAATTTAATAAAATGCATAACTAAACGCAAATTTATAGGCAATCATCTAAGGATAGATGTAAGCTGCAAAAAAGGGGTTGATTACAGTTTCCAGTGCAAATAACGTTGAAATATTAACCCTTATAAATTATAAATCGAACTTATGCATTTTTCCTGGTTTATAATAATGATATCTTTCTTTGAATGACCTTGAATATTTATCAGAAATTGTAAATATAATTCATGAGTTTTAAACATAAAATTCAATTCTCAACATGATTATCTAGATACGTGTTTTAAGCTGTAAAACAAGTAAGATTCAAATAAACGCAACGTTATTTTGGGAACAGTTTTTGTGGTTTTCTGTATCACGTTAAATGTAATATGGGCTAAAATGTCTGAAGTTTAATCTTACAAGATAAACTTAGATACACAGAATAGATAAGAAAACCGTTGTTTCAGTGAACATATATATATATATATATATATATATATATATATATATATATATATATATATCATGTGCTCATTGGCGACTAGCTTCGAGCGGTAACTCTCAGAGTTTTGGTGATAAGCCGTGAGCAATCAGGTTCAACAGCGTTGAGTTACCCACCGAAGACAATGGAAGGTGGTTAGGCAATATCGTGGATTGGTTAGTGTTAGACATTGACATCGCTTGATTCTGGGTAAATGGTCAAGAGGTTAAATGTTCTCTAGAGACCGAAGGTCCCTTTTTCGAACCCGACGTGCAGGATCGTTGATACGCACTACAAAGGAGTCCCGATCTAGTGTTTCCATGTTTCCAATGGTGCTCTAACATTGATCGGTTCAAGATCTCAATAAAAATTACTAAATGGCGTATTTATGTACTTCCACTGCTTGTTTGAACAAATCTGAACAAAGTATAAAGATGGGATTTGGGTATATTGTAGAATTTTCCCTTATTATCTTATTAACAAATAAACGGTAGAAAATTTATGACATATGTTAGAAGTAGTTGACTAGAAAGCATCGACTGGAGTTTCGTGTTAGTGGCAATTAATCAACACGGTATACATGCATCCATGAAGGAACTTATGATTCCTGTGAAATTCAGACATTTGTAACTCGGGTTCACTGTCTAACACGTAACCACTGAGCCATTTCGACAACCTGTAGGACTGATAAGTAAGTCCTCATCTGACAAGGAACATTAATCCTCTTAGGACTCCAGGAAAACACTTCTGTCTAGTGTAAACTTGCACGTAACCTCAGATCAAGGTTGCTTATCAACTAGTTACAACCACCTAATATATTAACATAGTACACATAATGTCGAGATGTTTAGACTATATTCCTGCTTTTAAATTGTTCAGTGGAACTCAGCCGGCACAGAAAGGACCACCTAAACATGAATTAATTTATTACTGAGTAATCAGTCAATTTTGAGTTTACTTTTTTTAACTTGATGTAATGATCTGTTTAATGTTGACAAAATGAAGCTGATGTGATTCAGCCGTAATTTTGTAACGCATCCGATACTTTCTGTTCATTTTGTGGCTAAATGTAATGTACCAAATAATCTTATAGGTAATCCTTCAGGTTAAAGCTGATGCGCATTTCTGATAAGTCCCATACTAAAAAGAAACGGCCGTCCAAAGCTTCTAGGTTTTCAATGGTGGTCTAACATTGATCCATTCATGATATCAATCTAAACTTAACAATCTCCACAGCCCTATACTGATAATATCTAAAAAATCGCTAAATATATTCCACCTACCCACAATATAAGCAAATAGTATCAGATTCATTACAAATCCGTAGCCAGATGCCGACCCAAAATAAAAAATCTTTTAACTTATGAAGTTGAATTATATTTAATAATGCCAGATATTTACCGAACAGTCATAACATATCATCCACACTGACTTGACAGTGTAAACTATCCATTTCATAAATAAAATATGAACTATCCTTAGTCTATGCATAAAAAAATATCATCCACAATGATAAACAATACAACATTTCCGTGTCTTAGTGAAGTATGTCATCTGGATTAAGTTAATTATGTAAATGTTTATTTATTGGAGGCTGGTGTTCATCCAATCAAATTGAAGAGAGACTGTATTACTCTGATTGGTTAATTAATTTCAAACAGAGGAATTCTATTATGATGATTTAACATTAGAATTAATTCAAACGAAATTAAATTTCTTTTAGAACAATTTTTCATTAGAAAGAAAGTTTTTCATTATTTTATTCTATTTTAATTCAATGACACAATGGGTTATTCTTATTATCTGAAGAACAATTTTTATTAAATTTATAATTCAAGCAAATTATCACAATCAAGTGGTTTTTGATTTTATTTTCTAAACAAACATACAATTTTTCAGTATTACTAGATTTATTCTATCTCTAAAACTTGATGGGATGATACAATTAAGACATGAGCCAATGCTGTATAATTAGTACCCAGATATATACGTATGTATATATCTGTATATAATGTTTAGTTAGATACTTTGAAAATCGATATTATAGTGTTAACTCATATTAAACTAAACTACTTATATTACATTTGAAAAAACCTGTAATTAGCTGTTAAACATTTTTCATCCAGGAGATTATTTCAAATTATTTAATCAAAAGATCAATTCCAAAAAAAGCAACATAAATACATATATGGAATCAAGTAAAAAAAACCGGAAATACATGGTACATTGAATCAATGCAATGGAGTTACGAACCGAGTAAGTGAAATACAAAGAGTGTTTTCTTAGTGTCCATACTTTATTATACGCTTTGTTTTGTGATGATAAACAATTTAATCAAATAAATGTCATGTCTTTTGTAATTGACTTAAATTAATGAAGTGAATTGAGGCGGGATTCAGAGAAACAATTCAGAAATACTAGATTTAAAAAACTCACTATAGTATGAAACTATTTAGACGACTGGCGGATTCATTGTCATATTAACTAAATTATGAAGTCGGAACACATAATCATAACAAAACAATGAGACGTAAAGTTGTATGGTTGTTGAAAAAAGGCTCTGTCCGTGATTTTGTTATTTATTTGTTAAGGTAATTGGCTAATATCTGTAAATGTCAATAGTTATTATTACACTAGGGGATTGTGGAGACTGTTAAAGTTTGCGGATTACATCATAGAATGACTTTAAGTAAACTACCATTAAAAACTACAAGGTCTTGGGCAGCTGTTTTATCCAAGTATAGGATTCTTGACTATTGTGCATCCACAGATCTAAAGGTAATGAAAATCAGAACTTTTTAGGATTCTCAGTGAACACTTGACGTTTAGACCGTTGAGCGAGAACTCATTTATTAATATTATTTAACTTCAATCAGCTTGTGGAGTTATCCAACTGTTCTTCAATTTCATTGGTCGGTAACTCTCGCAAATTTTCCATAGATGAAATCCACTGGTCAGGGTTTCTGGCCTTCGAACTCCTAGAATTACTTTTCAAAATTATTCACTGGTGAGCATATGATCGTTGTTATTATGGGGTAATCATCACTTTTGTTTATTTTGTAAAGATATTCAACGAAATTAATTGAACGAAGAAAGTTATTTTTAATAAATTCTCTCCATGTTCCGAAGTTATTTACTAGAATCAATAAGGCAAATATGTCATTTAAATTATCGCATGTTAGTTGATTACTGCTCGTAATATAAGACAAATTTGTTGATACTGAATGACGAATATACAGTGTTAAATGTTTATTCAGAACAATAAACAGCTCAATAACAACCCATTTGGCGAAACTATTCATAGTGCCAGCATAAGTCAACTACTCTGGATAATTTATCTGATAGTTAATTCCCTGCCTATGTCAATTAGACTCCAAATCCTTCAAACAGCAGCAACAGTAGTCACTTAGACTAAAAACTAGATCTATATGTGCAAAAGACTGTGCATGCCTCTTTTCTTAACTGAATTAACCTCGTGACCAACTAATGAATAGTCAAAACCGTACATTAATGAAATGAAAGCAACTCAAATTCATTTCAAAAGTGCTTCATTTTAATTATTATTCGATAATTATTTGCTG